GGCCAATAAACTCAACTCCACCATTATTTCTCATTATCCAATGAACCTAATCCTCTCCATCTTATCATTCCTTACTTCGACATTTTTTTCCACATTCGCCTCCAATACACACTTCTGGTAGTTTAGAAAACGTAACTTTCTGTATCCCTTAACTACATTCAACGTGTTCTATAGTGCGTTGAATAAGATGGCTTCTTTTATCAGGCTTTCCAGCAGACGTCCTATCATTTGTGAAATGAGGAGTCCTCCGCTTCTATCAACAACATCGGTTATTGTCTTCTCGTGAGATCAATCTCAACAACTGTTGAATTCACATTTCACTCGAAATAAAGGTCAGATCAGGAGACCCATCGAGGCATTGTTAATCTTCGTATATACACTGTCCGGACATCATCATTTTTGGAGTAGGGCTCATCTTATCTCTCCAGAGGACAGTGTCTTATGTCTGCTCGTTAAACGGTGTACCGACCGCAGTTTTAGTTGACAGGCTTCCGTGATGTCCCGTGGACGGGTCATGGACAAGACCAGATTGGACATGACCAAATGTCGTGTAAAGATGAAAAGCTGCCTCAATGTCATCACATATCAGCGAGTATGCATCACTTTGGAGCTGCCGTTCGGGTAATCCATTCATACGCCGACTGACAATGTGGGCAGCTTTAAAAAATGCAACCCCAATCTCTACGTGTTGGACATAAGGCTTAGTTTCATCTCCTCTTTGAATCATGCAAAAAGTGCAGAACATCTCTGACATACTACAAAGTATTTGAGGCATATATTTGCCCTTGTTTACTGACCTGCCTATCTGACTAATAATCTACTTGCACCGTTATTTATTTGCTCATCCATCTAGTCGTATACATTTCATCTATCCATCCAGCCAGGTGACGCACGAAGTAGACACCACTACTGTCACTCGCTGCCTGTAGTTTTCATACAGCCACGAAAAACGTAATCTTTTTTGTTCATTCTAGTGTTTGCAACTTGAAGCGCACGTGCTTCATTTGTGATGCTGCCCCATGCATAGAAAAACTGTCTGAGCGAGGAAGCCGTATATACATTTCATATGCACATGAATGCATGTGTGTGTGGTATACATCGCGGAGTGTGCGAGTTACCCTTTCCAAGATGGCTTCCAGCTCCGAAGGTAGACAGCGCTTTCCTTTTTCTCTTCGACTGGGATTCCGTTTTCACACGTGTTGGTGTCAAAGTTGACACCCAACAGCCTGGCCTCGTGTGATGGTCACTATTTTTAAGACATGTGGGGCAGTCCAGAGCCGCCAGGCCCCTCGACCCGGCGTCGCAGTATCACCTCTACAGACGTCTTCACGTTTCCTCTTTCATTCGTCTCAGTTTCCCTCCTTATGTCCCTCCCCCTCCAGCATTCGCCGCCTCCCAGACAACCTTCATGCCCTGACCCACCTATATTGCAACATTTCTTTTCAATTGTCTATGTCTGTATTCCACATTCTAGTCAACAAAAAAGGGGTCTTATTGGTCGGTCGGCCAGTGACACTCCTCTTATTTAGCCCTAGAGAGTTATGACGAGGCAGACCATAAAGCCCAAGAGGTTCTGTATGTAACAAGTTCCCTACTCTAAGGCATACGAGCCATGTCAGTTGAGAGGTCTACGCAGGCCGAAAGAAAAGGAAAACTTATTTTTCGTTTATAAGAAGGGTGTCGGGGCTACCATTTCATAAACGCAAAAAACTTCCCGACTGGGAGGTGGAATAGCGATTGAAAAGCGAGTCTTGATAACTAGCTGTCGTGTCGGTCAAGAAACCAATGCCAATTTTAGGATATTGACATGGAGGTATGAGGCACTTTCACCAGCGTTCTTCCCCTTTTTCAGGGCCACGCAAGATATGCTAAAACGCCTGTATCGTAGCCAGCAGCAGCATCAGCACAAGAAGCAAGAATTCTGTGTGCGCTCCGGGAGTGCGAATAATACTGCTTGTGTAAATTAATCAACTCTGCAACAAGTAGTGTAAGTATACCAGCATAAGAGAAGCAAAAATGGACAAGAAGTAAATGAGAAGAAAGTGATATAGAATTGCGGTGAATTAGCTAAATTAGAATTTGCATCAACTTACCAAAAGCGATTAAATGGTAAAGATACCACTGCAATTAGGGAGAAAGCAGCGGAGTCGTAGCAGAGGGTAGATGGTGACATTGGTCTAATCATTTTCCTTCCGTAGACTACATGCATTCATTATTATTTTCATATTACTATATTCCATATATTATATATTATACATATATATTATTATTTATTTATTGTTTGTAAATAGGTTTTCGAGATTACCAGTAGTCATATGTATGAGGCATATTCACCCTACTTCTTTTAAGGTAATAAGGGGACTGTTATAGCAACTACAACTTTGCTTCATATACAATCCCACTACAGAATATTATATGAGAAAATATCTGGCTTTCCTTGAAATGTACATCTGCTCTGCGACCAAAGGACATTCGTAGCAATCCGGCGTATTGGTTGACGTGTTATGGTTCGAGTCCCGCTAGAGGTGTTGTTAAGACGTGGGCGAGGTCGAAATTATTAGCAATTCTTGCCTGGATGTGAGTACTTTTTTGGAAGCAAGGCTATGTGAAATGCAATGGAAACTTAAGGTCTATTCAAATCATTGTATGAAAATTCAACTACAAGTCCCGTTATCGCCTTAAACAAAATAGGGTGAATTTATCTGACATATATATTTTTATATCATATTATATTATCATTATATATTATGATATTGAATATATTCCATAGATTCATTCCATAATACCCATAAACACTTGGTTTGGGGACTATAAATATATCTTGAACCGAAACAATGGTCATACTAGGTGGCATAAAGTGATAAAGGTTTGAAAGATGAATTTTTCCACCATTATATGAGTAGGTCTCACAATGCAACTTAATTTCAAATAAATGCTCCTGAATTCTACTAAGCTTTCCTTGC